ACTTTGAGGTTTGTCTCTGACATCCAATCATCACTTTACAGTTGCCGAAATGTGTAGTTCATATTTATCTTTAGTAACAGGATGTTACAAGGTTCAACATTTAGGAAGGTTAATTGAATTATAACTTGGCCACACCCTAGGCAAGTTAATTAAATTATAACTTGGCCAAACCTTTATTGGTAATTAAAGATGAACCTTCAAGCTGACTAATCAGACTTATGTTTGGCCAATGTTATAGCATTTTCTTGCGTAGGTTTTAAGATGTACATGTATATGTTGCATAAAATAATAGAGTTCAAGCATGTAAAATATAACCAAAGTTGTACAACGGTATTATGCTTGGAAATTGCTTGCAGCATTTCTCCCAAATAGAAACAATAGACCTATGTAGGAATAAAGAGATGGGTGATGGTATATTGAGTATTTTCAAGGGACTCAAAGAGTCAGCAAAGACTTTGAAGAATCTTCATTTACAGGACTGTGTATTAAATGAAGCACAAAGTAATACGATTGGAAATATGCTAGAATATTTTTCTGGAATAGAAACATTAAATCTATCTTGGAATAGAGAGATGGGTAATGGTATATTGAGCATTTTCAAGGGACTCAAAAATTCATCAAATACTTTGAAGAATCTTAATTTATTTTGGTGTATTTCAAATGAAAAACAATGTATGGAGATTGGAAATTTGCTNACTTAACATGCATTAATCAGATATACTTCCTCTTATATGCTGATGCTAAAATTACTAACTTAATCAATTAAATTCATTGTTCAAGTAGAATATAAAATTGGTCAAATAAACAATTCACATGTTTTCTTGATTGTTGGACTAGTCCTATTAAAATTGTTACATCTTATGCAACTCTCCAACCTTCAAAATTCAACTATTATTTAGAAGAGAAAAATAATCAAAACATGAGCATATTTACAACTTTTCTTTGTCTTGAAGCTTCCTTTATTGATGTTTATAAAAAACTATTATTGAAAGAATGTTGAAGAAAGGATGTGACAGAAAACGTCCATGAAAGAAAACATCCATAAACCAAAACAGAATGTCCATAAACTGAAAGAAAATGTCCATGAACCAAAAGAAAACATAAAATTAAAATAAATTTCATTTAAGTGTAAATATATGTTGAAAAACAAATTAACAGAATGGTTATAAAAACTGGTAGAGATGAAAAAATCTTCAGGAAAAGAGATACAAAATGTCAACTTTCTTTTCTATTTTCACTCTCTTGAGGTAATATGAAATTTAAAATTTTTAAAGTTTTTGTTGTTTTCATTAATCTTTGTGATTAAAAAATTGTTGATTATTTTATTAATAATCAATCTAAACATAAATTTAGCAATTTTGTTTCTTAATGATTTTTTTTTTCAATGTTATTGTCATAATACTAATTGCTATATGAATAATGATAATAGTGATATCACCAATTAACTTATTAATTTTAATTTAGCACTTTTTCTGGAATATTTTAGAAAAAAATATTGAATAATGGACAATTGTTCTATTTGCAATGATAAATTTGTTGGTAGGCAAATAAAAGGCCAATGCTCATTGTGTCTGCATATTTGTCATATAAAATGTCTGCAAGGTTTGTCTTATCTGTTTTTGAAAAACACATATTTAATATTTTTTCTTATAGATTCATCAACAGAATCACCACTCTATTTGAGTTGTTTTAAAATAACTAAAATATCATGTTTGGTGATGTTAAAGAGAATTGATGATCCAGAAAAACAAAGGGAATGTGTTGTAAAGAATATTAACTCTATTGTAAAACCTAATGAGGAAAAAGAAAAAAAAATTGATTTTTTGGAAAAGAATATTGAGAACAATAACAAGATAAAGGAGGAAAAATTATATGTGGAAGAGAAAGGAGAGATTAGTCAAGGACAAAAAAAAGTACTGAAGAATTCACAGATGAATTGAGATTATCTTTATCTTGGAGTAGCAATGACATTTCAGATGAAAGTATGGTTGGCAAAGAAAATATCATTAATGGAAGTGACATTGAATATGATAATGAAATTGAAGTTGAAAATTTTGAAACAATTCAAAATGCACATATAGAATCTGCAAAATTGAGGAAGAATCTTTTGAAGTGAACATCTGCCAAAGAAAATTCTTCTGATGATTTTCATTTTAAAATTCTGCCACATGGAAGTCAAAAAGGCAAAGACTTACTGTTTCACAAAGGTTTTTCATATACTATTAAATGAAAAACAAAAACAACTACTGTATGGACTTGTTCTGTCAGAAGAAAAAAAAGAAAATGTAAAGCAAGCATCAATCAAAAAGGAAGCAATTTTGCAATTGGGACAAACATTCATTGTCATTCACCAATAAAAAATTTAAAAACCAGGATTCGTATAAGAAATGAAATCAAAGACAATTGTTCTAGTGATATCAATTCTTCAGGTAAAAGAATTGCTGTAAATGTTCTGGTCAAGTATTCTAGTGCTTCAAACTTATCAAATATAATTAATTGTAAAGAAGTGGCAAATTGGAATAGAAGGAAGAACAGGCCTATTGTACCCAATGATAAAAACTTTGAGCTGAATATGATATTCATTCCTAGTAGATAGTTCGTAATAGCAGGTTGCAAAATTACCAAACTGTCTTCCAATGTTGAGGAGTAGATGGATGGTTCCAGTAGAGGTTGTTTCCAGGTTATCTTCCCAGGTCCTTGGGTCCAGATGGAAGCTGCATGCTGAATGAGAAAAATGAAGATTTATATACTCTGAGGTTTGCCTCTGACATCCAATCATCACTTTACAGTTGCCGAAATGTGTAGTTCATATTTATGTTTAGTAAGAGGATGTTACAAGGTTGAACATTTAGGAAGGTTAATTGAATTATAACTTGGCCACACCCTAGGCAAGTTAATTAAATTATAACTTGGTCAAACCTTTATTGGTAATTAAAGATGAGCCTTGAAGCTGACTAATCAGACTTATGTTTGGCCAATGTTATAGCATTTTCTTAAGATGTACATGTATAAGTTGCATAAAATAGTAGAGTTCAAGCATGTTAAATATAACCAAGGTTGTACATTATAATAAAGATTTAGTAATTTTTGTTAAATTATAGATGAAAAGCAAACTACAAATTCTGCCTACATTAGTTCATTTGTGTACTTTGTTGTATTGTAATTGTAGGAATTTCTGGTTCGTCACAACTGTAATCGTCCTTTCCAATCATTTACCAACTTGCCAAAGTACTGGTCCAAATAGAACCTTTAAAGTTTGTCCACAAATAGTCTAACAAAGGCAATTTCGGTAGAAATTGATCAACAAAACACCAGTATTTCGTCCAAAGAATATGTATTGAGTAAAATGAGCTTCTAGTTCTAAACAAGCTAGTTTAAACAACTAGCTGATGGTTAGAAAACTGAACTATCAACTGTTAATTTCGTAGGGTTTATATACTCTTTTAAGGGTTGATAGTTCACAAATTTCAATGTTCACAAAAACAAAAGTAACATTTGAAGACAAAGAAAAGTTCTAAATATGGTCATGTTTTTATTGTTTTCCTCTTCTAAATAATAGTTGAATTTCGAAGGTTGGAGAGTTGCATAAGATGTAACAATTTTAGTAGGACAAGTCCAACAATCAAGAAAACATGTAGATTGTATATTTGACCGTTTTTATATTCTACCTTAATAATGATATTCAATTGATTGAGTTAGTAAATTTAGCATGAGCATATAAGGAGGAAGTATATCTGATTAATGCATGTTAACAAGAACAGTATTGTGTATACAATACTGTTGAATAGTGAATATAATCTAAACTTAGAATTTAAGCATAATTGATAATTAATTCAACTAGTTTTAGTTCGAAATCATAAATTTATGGATTAATAAATTGTAATATTAATGCTAGGTTGCAAATAGCAAATATTCTTTATATAATTCAATAGGTTTTATTACTGCATAACGTGTATGCACTGCCCTATGCGAAACTAGGTCACTACTGCTTATCTTTATCAGTGCTATCTGCATAGTACAATACTGGTTCAATACTACTTCTCTATTGTAGAATATAGCTGACGAATGTATGTGTACAATTTGAAACCTGTTTTTTTTTTAAATGTAGATTTAATTCAAGAAATTTCTAAATCAATGCTTAACAATAGCATTGAGTTCGCTTGAGTCACTATACTATCATCTTGATGAACATCAATACAGTCAGTTTCCTTTACCTTTATAAATACTCTATATTAGGAGCCTTCTAAAAATTCAAAAAAAAATGAATAGAATTAGGCCTAATAGCCATGTGATTTTACCACATGACAATGCCAGATCAGATATCAGTCTATAAACTCCCCAAAATCATCAGAATGATGATGAATTGAAAAAAGGAGTAATGGCACTTTTTAGGTGCAAACTGCCTGAATACTTTGCCAAAGGAATTGATATGATTCCTGCCAGGTGGCAAACTTGCATTGACAATAATTGGGAATACAGAGCTAAATAGACGGGGCCAACAGAAAATGTCCCCAAGTGAGATATTTGAAATATCATTTCGGATTGAACAATGTTTAGGAGGAACAAAGTAGCTACTGTTTTTTGTAGTTAGGGGAGTTCCATCTAAGGGTTAAGGGTAATCAAAAAGCTTAGGGAGAGACAAGAGCCAGGCTAGGGTTAGAGTTAAACCATACATTTTGAAATGTTTTCTGTTGCAACCAATTAGACATACTTATGACATAATTAAAGATTTATGAACAAGCATTTTGTGAATTTTTTTAAATTAAGTTTATTTTTCAATAGTCCCTTTCATAGTCTACACTTTTAGACTTACCAAATAGAAGACAAGTGTAGACTAGCATTTTGTCCTAAAATAGTATTGTGACTCAAGTGAACTCAATGCTATTGTTAACCATTGATTCAGAAATTTCTTGAATTAAATCTTCTTTTAAAAAAAAACAGGTTTCAAATGAACTAATGTAGGCAGAATTTGTAGTTTGCTTTTCATCTATAATTTAACAAAAATTACTAAAATCTTTATTATAACAAAAACAAATTCTTTAAGTAGTTTTCTCCTGAAAACTCCTTTAAAGCTCTGTATAAAACTCACTTCGATATCCTCACGCTTAAAACTTAGTCACGAAGAGTAAGTAAAATCCAGAGCATTTTTTATAGTCTTTGAACATCATATCCTTACATTTTAACAATGATTGTATTATACTTTTTTAGTCGTGTCAAAAATTCAGTTTTCCACTTAATTTTACAATCTTGTCCTGGAAAGAGGAGAATTCAGGTCATTTTTAACTTGAAAAAACTTAAAATTCACCCTATTTAGGGTATATATATATATCATTACATATGAATGACTTTGTAACTTTTTTTGAAAGTCACCTTCAGAAGTGAGACATGTCTATTATATAGTATCTTTTTATTTAATGGGAGAGATCTAGTTTAAAAAAATGCGTGATATTGGATTAGGCTTTCTCGACATCACTTGAATATGAACAATTAAAACTTTGCTCTAGTTTAACATTATAGGTAAATAATTTGTTTAATAAAAGTTTGTTATACGCCTCATTTCACAAGAGAACTTTATATAAGCATCAAATTCATGCTACATTCTCAAAACAGAAAAAATGGAGAACAGTCATTTTAAAGGAGAAAATGCTGCTAAGAACTACAGTAGTTTTCGGCCATCCTATCCAGAATCTTTGAGTAAAAGTATTCTTGAATTTTTGGATGAAAAAGTTGATATATTTTTTGTCTCTTAATTTTCTTAAGCATTTTTTTTATATAAAGAAACTTTTTTCTCTTAAAAGCTTCCAAAAGATTTACCAAGGAAATTAGAATTAGATGTTGGATGTGGATCTGGGCAAAGTGTAGGATGTGTTGCTCCATTTTTTGAAAAAGTTATTGGTATTGATGTCAGTGAAGATCAGATATTAAAGGGAAGGGAAAATAACGTTTTCAAAAATGTTGAATATGTGTAAGTTGAAGACAAAATATAGTCATGTCTTTAAAAAATTTATTTAAATAATAATAATACCATATAGAGTTGGAACTTTTAAGGAATTACCTGCTGAAGACAATTCGGTTTCATTAGTAATTTGCGGAACCACCATTCATTGGTTTAATCCAATTGAAGAGTTTTATGCAGAAGTTAAAAGAGTTCTTGTACCAGGTGGTTGCCTAGCAATATTTGCCTACTCTAAATCTTTTATAACTGGATTGCCCAAACCCTTGAATCATCATCTAAACTTATTTTTTACCAATGTAAGAAAGATTTATAGACATTATTTTTCATTATATAACAATTTAAAAGGATCTTTTTTTAAATAGGTTTTTAATAAAATAGCTTATGAAGCTCCAAAAGAAATTAAGATTCTTTTTGACAACTATCACAATCTTGAAATGCCATTTGAAGATGTAACAAAGTATTTTTATATAGCATTTACTTCAGCATTGCTAATTCATTTCTTTTCTTATAGAGATAATTCAGTAATGATGACTAAAGAATTGACTTTTGATAAATTTGCTGGTTTTTACAAAACTAAAACTTTATATAAGGCATACAAAGATAAATATCATTCAGATACATTAGAAGAAAACAGAACTTTGTAAGTTTAGAATCAAACAACTAATGAAAAAAGATAATTTGTTTTGTTACATGTTCTATATAGACTTGAAGAAATACAGAATGATAAGCACTTCAGTAATGACACAACTTTTGAGGTCACATGGCCGATTTCCACTATTTATGGGAGAAAATGTAAAGGTTAAATGATTCCTTTAAATTCTCTAACGTTTTTTTGGATGTCATTAAAAAAAACATACAGTTTTGGTGTTGTTACCCTTACTGATAAACCAATAATGGATTTTATTCCAAATGTTTCTTGCTGCTAACCTTCCTAAATATAAATCAACTGTTTTAATAATTGTCTTAACACATTTTCAATCAAATATCTTATAAAAAGAATAACCCTCATGTGAGTTATCAATGACTTTTTATCTTGAAAATAAAATTGGAAATTTTTTTACCAATCCTGTAGGTCACTAGATTTTTTAAGCATTCTATATAAATCTAAATAAGGATATAGGATTTCTAAAATCTAGTGACCTACAGGACATGAACTATTACTTGATAAGCTAACCTTTGATAAAAGCAAAAATTAGCCCTAACTTGTCTAGACAAGAAGAAAAGTTTAACATGTATTGCAATATGATCATTGTAATACACGCTTTTGAATATAACTGTTTATAAAACCCTAACTCTGAAAACTGACCTAGTGACTGTTTCATTTTTTTTCTGGGACACTTTTTTTTGCATCAGAACATTGAACAAAATATTTGGCACTGGGTGATTGAGAATTATTGGAGATTTCAATTCCATTGCATATCTTTTCTAAGATGAATAGGCTGTCCCTATAGTCAGTAGATGTTAAAGGATTTGGAACTGGTTCTTCTACCCTTTTACATAGAAAATTCTGGTCTATTAAAGAATTTCCCACAATGAGATCAAATTTACAAATTATAACACCCGATAGAAAAAACTGGGAATGATATGAAAAATAATAACAGTCTATGCCTTGTGCTAGGCACAATTAACTTAAATATACAATTTTCCCAATTAACAAACATACACTTGATATTGAATAAATATCTCCAAGATCAACAGCCCATCACGAATAATCGTTAGGATTAGAATTAGGGCAAATTAGAAAAATCAATTGTACAAAAATCATCAATATCCTCAACAGATTCTCTCTTGTCACTTTCAAAAAGATAAAAGCAAGATTCTTGCAGGAGAAACGCATTATTGTGTTTACATGCTGTTTTTCAAAGTAAAAAGAATTTTAAATAATCATCAAAAAAAGAAGTAGTTTTTATATCATAAATACTTTGCCGAGCATTTTGCTCACACTTCACCAGAGGATAAAATTGACTAAAAGAAAATATATCATAAAATTTCTAAGTGTATGTGAAAATCATATATAAATAGACAGATGAAAAAGCAAAAATTAAAATACAAACAGAGCTTTTATAACTTGTACTTTATGATTTTCCTCAATTCTAAAAGTTTATGAGAGAGAGAAGGATAGGGAAGGAAATAATTGATATAGATACAAACAATTGAACCTCATTTATAAACATCAGTTTTTTTCAAATTGCTCTTTTACATCTAAAACATAGATGAAATTTTTAAATAGTTTGATTGTTTTCTATTTGTAAAAAGAAAACTACCTCTAATACAAATGTTAGATATACTAAACATATTTTCATAACCCATTGTTGAACATATATCATTGTTTTGAAAATTTTTAGAAGTTGTATACAAAACTGAAAATATTTCATTATCAAGTAATTGTATTACATTTTAATTTCCAAAAATTGAAAATTGATTTTCTTTCAAAGGTGAGATAAAATATTTAATCTTATTAAAGATTGAATAAGTGATATAGATTTCAATTGGAAGATAAAGATGATTAATTAACAGAATAACTATAATTTGAATATAGTTGAATAACATCCTTAAATTTGTCTTTCTTTTTTATTAATAGTCCATTGCTGAAAATATCAGTCATTTGTCTTGTCATTTTCTTTTCAAGTTTCATTTTCACTTTTAAATTAACTTTAATTCATTTTAGAATAAAGAAATAATTAATTGGTAAAAAAAGAAAAAAAAAGATAATTTCTATTCATAGCAATATTGTATATACTGTATATTTTTAAATATTCCGTACATAACTTAAATTTCAATTTGCGTCAATAAAATTGTTGATTACAATATTTTTAATAGAAAATATTAATTTATCTAATGGAATTTTGTGAAAATTAATGTTACTGTACTGCTCCTGCTTGGCCAATTTATGTGTTTGCAAGTTACAAAAGTACTGATCTACTCAAATGTATAATTCAGATGATTTATTTATAATAAAATACTTAAGAAAGTAACAATATGAAAGTTCAATAGCAGAGTAGACAGTTTGTAAAAGTAGGTTGCAAAAATACCAAACTACCATATAACATTGAAAATTAGACAGACTGTTCAAGCTGCGGTTGTTTCCAGATGATCTTCTCAGATGATTAGATTGAGATACGATGATTTGAATAAAACAGTGAAGGTTTATATACTGTGAGGCTCTCGTCTAGTTTCCAATCATCACCTTGCAGTTGATAAAGTGTCCAGTTCATGTTCTGCAGTAGCATAGGATTTAGAAGGGTTAATTCACTTAAAACTTGGCCAAATTTTTACTGGTAATGAAAGTGGAACTTTTAGGATGACTAATTGAAATATAATTTGGCTGAATGACATTGTCTTTTCTTACATAGGCTTTTGAGTTTACGATTTATTTCCCCAACAGAAATTTTGATATATCTATTTTAAAAAAATCCAATTTGGACATCCGAGTTGTATGATTCATTTTTTCAAATTTTTTCTACATCTTTTGAATATTTACTCCACCATGGGATAAAGAAAGATATCAATAATCCAGAATACAGTAGGCAATCAGTTTACAAGAACAAAATCAAATTCAGTTTGATAACATAGTAACAGTTGCAGAAAAAAATGCCCAAGTATCTAACCAATCAAGAAAATTTTTAATCATTGGTACTACCACCATGAAAAAACACTCTACATTTTCTTGCAAAACATTAGTTTGAGCATTGAAGTAGCCATTTGTCTCTTTTGTAATTTTCCACAACATTAGAAAAAAGACGAAACAGAAACAAAGAGTAGTCACTAACTACTAATGATACCACAGATGAGACCAAAGATAACTCACAAAAAGTGAACCTAACCTGTAGATAATTTATTCCCTCACAGCTCAAACTGTAAAATAACTCTTCAGTTTTCCAATGTCATAGCCAATGAATGAATATTTAATATTTTATTCAAGAGGAAACCATTAAATTAGTATTTTTAGAAGAACAACAAAAGCAATAGGAAAATAGAGATTGAAATTCTTTTCTAAATGAACTTAAATTAGTAAAATAAACAAAAAAATTAATGGTGCCATTGATATAGATAATATGATAAAACATGGACTCTTTTATTGAAAAAATTCTTGTAATTGTTAAGAGTATAGGACAAGTAAAAATGAAATATAACATCACAAGATAAAAACAAACCAATACCTGTTTTGCTGTTCTCTTATGTCTTTTTGTATTATTTGGGTTTGAATTGTTAAAAATTGCGTTATTTTGCCTTTTTAAATAATAAAACATTATTGAATACATTGTAATTGTAATAATCAGTAAAATTAGGATCAAGATCACTGAAATGTATAAAATAATCTTTCCAAATGAATTGAAGATTGATGGTGAATAACAAAGATACTTTCCTCCAATTGATTCATTATCTATTGAATAACATACTGTTAATACTCCAATGACAAAAGTTAATAGAAATGTTATCAGCTTCCATTTTGTTTTGCTAATTTTTAAAAACGGCTTCACAACTGCTAAAAATCTCTCTAGAGAAACTAATATTAGCAAACTAGCTGATGTCCATGGAAAAATGTTGGAAAATATTATTGAAAGGCTGCAAATTATCGGTGTTTTTATCGGTAAAATATGATTTTGAATTTCCCTATGATATATTAAAGGTATGGAAATTACACAGGTGAATAGATCAATCCATGCAAGATATTGAAAGAGAAATTCATTGTGATAAAATTTACATTTTTTTTTTGGATTCTGAAATAATATTATACTAATAGCATTTCCAAGTGTTCCAATGATCATAAATAGGCCATATAGAGATGATAAAATAATGAATACTCTTATATCTGTTATTCTAAAAAATGTATTGCTAATTGCAGCTTGTTCACTATATGAAATTTCAAATGTTCCATTCATATTGTTCAATCTTTTCTTTAATTTTTGGCCATTTTGTTGGGATATTGCAATTTTTCAATATAATTATTTAGTTTCCTTATTTATATATATATATACAGTATATATATATATATATATAACTAATTACAGGCTTTGTAACTTGAACCAACTATTACTTAATGGTTATGGTGTTGGTTTTATTACAGGCTTGTTTATAGAATTTTCGCTGAAATTTTATCCCCTGCTTGAAGAGACTTGTAAATAAGTTCCAGATTATATTATTACAATACTCTACTCTTCTTACACCTACTAATTGGAATTGCTGGATTTTTGAAGGAAGTATTTTCTTATAAGGCAAGCTTATTAATCTATACACTTCGTATTCATATTTAGAGATCACATAATAAATTTTTCTTTATTTATAAGCAAACATAAATGAACAATAGAAAAGGTCACTTTAAAGTTGCCAGTTAGTTGAACAAAAAATATATATCATACGAAAAATATTCATCTGAGACTGTATCTTGAAATATTTAATTTTGGATATTTGTTAAAAGTGTGACAACACAGCAAGATATTCTTGAATATTTTATTCTATTAGCTAAAATATATGAATACTATTTAAAGGTCATTCAAACTGAAAATATCATGCTACTGGTGTTATTTATTTCAGTGGTTTTTGCCAATTACTTGTAAATTTCAATGTAGATTGGAAATAACTTCTTACCAACAATATCAATCTGAACTTTACCTTTTACGCTTGAACATTTAAAGAATTGTTTTATGAAAAAATATTCAAGTTCTCCAACATTTTCAACACTTGAGCAAATATTTTTTCTAGTTGTATTCTGTTGTAAATCACTCCAAATAATTATTTGATCATCAGTAAAATTACCATCAATTAAGATATATAAATCATTTACTGGCTGATTATAATCTACAAGATTAATAGATTCAGTAAAGAAGTCCTTCTTTACATTGCACAATTCATGATTTTCAACTGAAAAATAGAAAACAATGAAATTGATCTTTGTTATAATAAATATTTCAACAAATTCTAACTTTTTTTGGAAATGAATGAATTTATATAAAAGAATATTTTATATATTGAATCAGAATTCGAAAATAATTTAAAGTATTTTGCCAATGTAAGGTCAAATTCTTTACAAATTATATGATCCTGTAAAAATTTTCCAGTTAGATTAACAACTGTCACATTCTGCCAAAATAGATTCTCAATTTCAAGTATGGTACCAAATTTAAATGATCCACCATTGTCCACTGTAATTGATATGTAGTTAAAAATACAAATAGGCCTATAAAATAGATAATAAATGAACAAACATGATAAACAAACAGCGTTAACGTATAAAAGCTTTGTTCGAATTTCAATGAAACTATTTTTTTGAATTTGAAAAGGATTATCAAAGAATGATGAAAATTTCCAAATTGGTGTGAATTGTTCAAAAGTTAATGGCAAATTATTAATTTGAATATTTTCAATAACATTTTCGTATCGATGAGATGAAACTGTTGTGTTTTTTGTTCCGGAAGTGGAAAAGAACAGAAAAAAAGAGAATAATTAATATTCATTATAATAAAAATGTATTTTAAACTTTAGTTATTACCGTGATGACTTGTTGTTTTTGTTAATTTACCATATAATATGAGTTCTGTTACCACCAATATTAATTGAGAATTGTCATTAACGTATTGCTGAATTAGGAAATATTTTCCTGAATATATTGGGTCACACCACCAAACTTGAGCTCCCAGGTAAGGCTTATACTGAGGTTGTTGGTTATAAAAGCAAAAGTTACTATCAGCATTAAAAGAGGTTTCGGGTAATAATTTTACAGATCCATAGATATTTCTATAATAATAATCTATAAGAATTTATAATGAAAAAACTGGTATTAAATTGTTATATAAGTGTTCAAAGAGTTTACTTGTATCGCGTGCATGAATGAAAAACACTCCATGAAAATCGTATAGATTGTTAAAACTTAATAAGAGAAAAGGTGACATATAACGTCCAGCACTATGGCCTCTGGTATGATATGCCGTCATAAAATTTCCATCTGTAGCGCCCTCTTTAGCCATTATTCCATAATGTTTTCCTCCAACTAATTGTACATTAGTATTGTTTAAGAGGTGAAAATCTGTGTAATAAACATAATATTGATGTGTATATTTTTTTTACTATTCTTTTACCTCTCTTTTTGACAAGAGTTCCTTTCACATCAATATCGCACAGCAATATATCAGTTCCCATTGTATAAGATTTCAAGAAAAGAAATGATCCTACACTCTCATCTGAACACTTAAAACACTGATAATCATTTAGCGATAGGGGATTTACAACAATATCTTCTACCCGTTGACATAAAGCATTTTGTTCTGTAAGGCTATTTCCCAAAATAATATCAAAATTTGAAATTTCTGGACCTTGCATAAAAAAAATTTGTCTGTCACTACTTTAGAGTATTTTGAAAATATTTCCATTTATACAAAAAACATTACCATTTTTTTCAGTTAGTAAACAGACATTAGAAACTGAATAAATATCACCAAGATCAACAACCCACCATGAATATTCATTAGTTTTAACATCTGTCAAGGAACAGTAGGAGGTATTCTATAAAAAGACAAAAAAAAGAAACAACATATTTTCACATCAAAATAACTAATCAATTAGTTACTTGACTATTCTTAGTAATCTCTATAGTTGAATCTGTTGCAAAAGTTGCAAAATTAGAATATTCTTTAGATCCATTTGTAGAACTCTGAAAAGCCATTTTTCCCCTTGCAAGATTTATACTAAATATTTCTGGTATAGCTAAAACTGTAGGGAAGTTTTTGTAACCTATATTTAAAAAAATAAAACCTACATACCAAAAGTTATACAAGTTAATGCCAACATTTCTATTTTCTCTATATTGTTCTTTGAACACACTTGAACGATAAATGAATGAAACATAATTACAAAATATTTTTCATTAGAACATTGAACACTTTTCTTTTTTTTGAAAAGTACCTCATTAATTTTCATAACAAAGACATAATTGATATATAAGAAAGATACAAAAGGCTAATTATAGCCTAGATATAATTAATTCATTAGAACAAATGTTTTTCAAATGTCAATCCACTTAATAATTCCGATGGCTTGCAGACTGTAATTCATAATTTGAAAATTGTAGTCGACATGTCTATAGCAAAATGACAGTAAACAAATTAAATTTTCATTTTCATTTTGCCTTTTTTTTGAAAACACATTCTAATACCAGTTTACTTTTAGACTCACTAAAGGACAAAGTTGTATTTTTCACAATGAAAATTGGCATAATTTACATGAATCTTAATATAAGAGTTAGATACTTTGAAGTATTATCAAAAGTATTTTCATTGTATACAAAGAAAGGCCTGGAGAAATGCATTTCCTTTTATATATTTGACAAAGCTTGGGTTCAATTGGTCAATTGGTCAGGATTGCAAAGTTGAAATGTGACAGTCTCATAATTCACATGTAACAAAAATATGAAAGACTGTTATATAACACATAGAAAATAAAATTTTTAGATTAAGGCCATGTGGCCAACGTATGCCACTGCAAAACAAGCCTGCATCTTCAGCATATGGTATTGAATAAGATGTAACAACTTTGACATGTATCTTATCCATGTTCTTTGTTCCTTTGTTAATTGCATAATGGCTCCATCTAATATGAGCAAAGAATCTATTTCCTATGAAATAAAATTATTTTATAGTTCAAGAAGCTAACTCTACGACATAAAAGTCTTTCTAAAGTTCCACCATTATAATCAATGAAATAGAAGTTAGTAAAATTTATTGATATAGTTGTTTTTATCTGTAATTCTGCCAATAATTGAATGGTTTTCAGTTGATTTTAATGTTTCTGATAAATTTTCAAAGCTCACTAAAAGATTCTTAAAAGATTCTTCATCTATTTATTTAAAATTGAAATTATTTTTATTTATTAACTTATCATGTTTTAAGAAATTATGTACTATCATCCTGCTTTCCAATTAAAACACTTTTTGCATACAATGTCCCTTTACAATCAATTCTAATAAATGGTGTACAACTTTGGTTATATTTTACATGCTTGAACTCTATTATTTTATGCAACATATACATGTACATCTTAAAACCTACGCAAGAAAATGCTATAACATTGGCCAAACATAAGTCTGATTAGTCAGCTTGAAGGTTCATCTTTAATTACCAATAAAGGTTTGGCCAAGTTATAATTTAATTAACTTGCCTAGGGTGTGGCCAAGTTATAATTCAATTAACCTTCCTAAATGTTGAACCTTGTAACATCCTGTTACTAAAGATAAATATGAACTACACATTTCGGCAACTGTAAAGTGATGATTGGATGTCAGAGACAAACCTCAAAGTATATAAATCCTCATTATTCTCATTTGGCATGCAGCTTCCATCTGGACCCAAGGACCTGGGAAAATCATCTGGAAACAACCTCCACTGGAACCATCCATCTACTCCTCAACATTGGAAGACAGTTTGGTAATTTGGCAACCTGCTATTACAAACTATCTACTCTGCTATTGAACTCTCATATTGTTACTTGCTTAAGTATTATTATTGCGAATAAACCATTTTAATTTAAACATTTGTTTAAAGGTTCGAGTAGAACCAGTATTGTTATAACTTGCAAACGCATAGATTTTGCCAGCAAGAGCAGTACAAATTTGGCGCAGTCGACAGGATATTCTTTTGGTTTATTCAAAAGTTTTGAGAAAGTAAATATGGCAGAAGGAGGAAATGGAAACGCCACTGGGGCAGTTACAGACTCTAACCCTTCAACCCCAGCAACTCCAACAATTACAATTCAGCCAGCAGGAATGTCAGAAAGGCAACAAAGACTAATTGAAGACTATGATAGATTGGTGAGTGAAATGAAAAGAAATCGAATCACAATTCCAACAGATCATGGAGATGGAACACATCACCCAGCACAGAACCCAAATGTTGATATCACAACAGTAATTCAAGCATTAAGGGCTGCTTGGGACCGCCCTCAAAGAACTATTCTCAAGTTGTATGATGGAAGCAAGGAGTGTTCAAAATTCAAAGAAGACTTTAATCAGGCATGTTATGCTTATGGTTGGATAGGAGAAGATGTTGTGAAAGCAAATCTTTTAGATTATTTAACTGGTCCTGCAAAGGATTTGGTGTTGGCTCTGGATGGAGAGCCTACTGTGAAGGAAATATGGAAAGCCCTCCATGACGAATTTGATCTAGATCCTTTGGAGTATCAGGAGAAATTGCTTAACTTAAAGCAAATGAATGGCGAAAGTGTGGTTCAGTTTGTTAATAGAGCAAAGAAATTGATAAAGAGGTTTTCTCCACCTAGACCAATGGAACCACAATTGCTTGCAACTATGAAAGAAATAAAACTGATGGAAGTTTTACAAAGAGGATTACAACAGGATATTCTACATTTAGTGTACACCTTACATCCTAAATGTCAAACATTGGCAGAACTATATGAGGCTGCTAAGCAAGCAGAAACTTCATTAAAACTAACTCAAAGAAAACCGATCACAATGGTGTCAAAATTGGAAACTCAACAAAGAAAAGAGACCAAAAAGACCCAGGTAATCAGAAAAGATGCTTCTACAGAAACCCCAAATTTCTGGAATAGAAAGCATGTACCTGACAACAAAAATGCTACTAAAGAAAAGTTTTCAAGCCAAAAAGTCCAAAAGTATGCACCAACTACAACAAATAGGTATTATAAGAAAAATCAACCAGCAAAGACAATACTGAAAGAGGAACCTAAGCTACAAAAATTAGAAACATTAGACAATGAAAGCATGTCAGAAAACGATGAAGTTCAAGATATTCTCTGTTTTTCAGATAGTGACGAATCCACTTGTCAGCTGTTACAAAGCAAACAATCTGAGCGAAATGCTTCAACATTTATTGGACAATTTGAAACTAATACAGGTTTTAAGTTTGATGCCTTGATAGACTCTGGTAGTGACAGATCTTTCATTTCAAAAAAGGTATTAAGACAAGTTCAAGGAAAAGCATCCTTCCCAGAACAAACTGTGAAAAATGCTAGAGATGCTTCAGGAAATAGCATCGAGATATGTGGAGAAATCATTCTCAGACTTTATTTTAATGAAAAGATTATTAAACAACGCTTTCTGATCAACAAAATCATTACACAACAATGTATTATTGGGTGTGACTTTCTACAACAAAATGGAGCTACCCTTGACTTTGGCAAGAGACAGATTATACTCCAGCCAGGTACAGAAAAGAATTACCCTGTTGGAACACAACACTTATCTTTCAAAGGGTTTTACCCAGTTCCTCTTATTATGAAAAAGAATGAGAGTCAAATACATACCCTTCAGACAACAATTGAACAAGAAAATCCCGAGATGAAGAACAAAGTTACCCAAATTCTGGCAAAATATAAAGAAACTATTGCAGAAGACAGATTTGATATTGGCAATCCAGAGGTACCACCCTTGGAAATAACTCTTGAACCAGGTTCAACACCATATAGACAAAGGCCATATAGAATGCCTCCTCAAAAACAAGAAGAATGTAAGCAACAGATAGCTGAATTGGTAAAAAGCAAAGTTATTCAACCAAGCAAGAGCAATTGGGCTTCACCAATTGTTTTCGTAAGAAAGAAGGAAGGTAGTTACGAATGTGTGTAGATTATAGAAAACTAAACAAAATGACAGTTAAAAACAAGTATCCACTGCCAAATCAAGATGATCTTTTTGACCATTTGGGAGGAGGAAATAAATTCTTTTCTACAATGGATTTGACAAGTGCATACCACCACATTAACATCAAGAAAGAAGATAGGTCTAAAACAGCATTTATTACACCTTTGGCTTGTTTGAATTTATTAAGATGCCTTTTGGATTAACCAATGCCCCTCCTCATTTTAGTTATGTAATGAATTCATTTGTGCTAAAGGATGTAAAGCATTTGTGCCTAAACTACCTTGATGACATAATAATATTTACCAAGTTGCTGGACCAACATTGGGAAGCATTGGAGACCATTCTTCAACAGATTCAAAAGTACAATTTTAAGATTAAACTAAGTAAATGTGTGTTTTTGAAAGAACAAGTTCAATTCTTGGGACACATTGTATCAGAAAAGGGGATTGAAAACAGATAAGTCCAAGACAGATAAATTATATAATTTACAGCCACCAGTGTTTGCAAATTCACTACTAAGCTTTGTTGCATTTTGTGGCTATTACAGAAAATTTATACAAGATTTTGCAAGAGTAGCTAAACCTCTGTATATGTTAATGAAACTACATGGGAAAAAGGATAAATTGCAATGGACTGAGGAAGCCAAGCAATCATTTTTCAAGTTTAGAGATGCAGTAGTTAACCCTCCTGTATTACAACTACCTGATTTTGCTAAAGATTTTCACTTAACAACAGATGCATCGAATGTAGCTGTAGGAGGAGTTCTTGAACAAGTTTATGTAGATGAGAATGGGAAGAAAACAATGAAACCCATTGCCTACGCTTCAAAACAATTCAACAATAATCAAATGAAATATGCAGCCTATCAAAAGGAAGCATTTGGGGTTTACTGGGTTGTAAAGAAATTTTTACATTACTTCAAGACAAGCCATTCTTTTTATATACTGACCATCAGAGTCTAGTACAAACATTTAAGCAAAACAAATTGAATGTCAGCACAGCAAAATGGGTCATGGCTTTAATGGATTTAAAATTTACAATTAACTATGTGACAGGACGAAAAAATAGAGCAGATGCATTAACAAGATTAGAAGAATATACACCCCAAGGAAAGTAACATTTGAAGAGCTAATTCATGGAAAGATCAAAAAGGAGAATTCTCCCTCTATTTCAGTTAAAAT